AGTACTTAAATCTTGATCTCACAGATTCTGAAATATATCATTTTTCTGCTTCAACAATATATGGATCATATACTTCAAGTTGGAATTGGAAGCAAGCTATGGTGACACTGGCAGAATTTGATAGTCCAATGTGGAGATTGATTTGGATTGCTTTCACTTTTAGTACTTTTTTACCATGCATGTCTCAATTATTAATAATCAAGCCCTATATTATACTCCCCAAATCTGCTCCTGACTGTCCATGATTGATTCTGAGTTTCTTTTTAGCATGTTAAACATTTCAGGAAATAGTGGAGCATCATTTAACCATTCATTCATTCATTCATTCGTGGTTCGCTTCTAAGTTTTTTATTGTGAAACACAAAAAAGGACAATTAGTAAAAATGTGCAACTCAATAAGTTATGACAAAGTGGGCCCTTTGTAACCCCCAATGAAGTTAATAAACATGATCATTGCTAACACCCCAGAATTTCTCTTCATGCTCCCTCCTGATCATAACCTGTTTTTTCTCAATCAACAGTAATTGATATTTTGACATTGATGGTAATTATTTTCTTACTTTTCTTTGTATTATACCAAGTAAATTTGCATCCATACATACGATAAGTTAGTTCTTCCTCTATTTTTTACACTATGTAAATGAAAGCATAGGATCTTTAATTGTATCTACTTTGTTTTGCTCACAATTATGTTTGTGCAATTCAACTATGATTTATGTGTGTAGCTCTGGTTTGTTCCGTTTGATTGTTGTATGGTGTTATTTTGAATGATTTTTAAAAATTTGTATACTTTAAAGAATTTTAAAATGTGTGTTAACAGTATCCTATTGATAGACATTTACTTTTTTACAGTTTTGAGCACTTATACATTTTTGTAAATACTTCTTGATATAGATATGCCAACATTGCTGTTCAGCAGGAGTGAAGTTTCTGAATCTGATGATGTGTCTATCATCTTCAAACTTTGTAACTGATATCAACCTATTTTCCTAAATGGCTGTACCAGTTTTTAGTCTCTCCACCACTATATCAAGGATTCTTTTGTTTCAGATTGTTGGCATAATTGTCTTTTAAATTTTGCTCATTCTGGGATGTTATAGTGAGAAAAATTTCTGTGTGTTATAGTATTAATAATAGTAGTATTTTACCTTGCATACCTCTGATTGTTCACAACGTTTAATCAGTTTTCGCATGTTTATTGCCCATCTGGATATTGTCCCCTGTTAATAATTCTCTTGGCCATTTGTGAGGGGAAGTAGTTCATTTTCTTATGGATGTGTAGGTGTTAGTTGTACATTCTGGATATTAGCCATTAGAAATTATATGTTGCATTACTTAGGATTCTCCAGAGAATTAGAATCAATAGGGTAAATAAAGATATATTAGAGGAGATTTATTATTAAAATTGTCTGACACAATCGTAGAGGCTGGAAGTATGCAGAATATGCCATCTGCAAGCTGGAGAACCAGGAAAGCTCGTGATGTAATTTTGTCCTTGAGGGGTTGAAAGCCCAACAACTGAGATCTCTTATGTCTGAGAGCAGAAGATTTATGCCCCAGTTTAAAAAGAGAGAATTTGTTTTCCTCTAGCCTTTATTTTTTTCCCTATCAGGGCTCTGAAGGGATTGAATGATGCCCTCTCTCATCTGTGAGGCTGGACTTTTTTACTACATCTACTGAATCAAACATTAATCTCTTCTGGAAACACCATCAGACATACCCAGAAATAATGTTACCAGCAATCAAGGCATCCCTTAGCCCAGTCAGGCTGACACATAAAATTTGCCATGACGTATGTGTTGCAAATATCTTTTCCCACAATGCAGCTTACTTTCTACATTTTTAATAGTATCTTTTGGTGAATGGGTGTTCTTTATTTTCCTGTAGTAACTTTTATTGTACTTTCTTGGGTTAGTGCTTTTGAGGTCCTGTTTTAGAGGTTCGACTACCTTGAGATGATGAAAATATTTTCCTGTTATCATTTAGGAAAACATTTTCACATTTTAGTACTTAATTAATCTGGAATTTACTTTTGTATACAATAGGGGCCAGATGGTTTTTTCTTCCTTTCCTCTTTCAGATAACCACTTGTCCTTGCACTATTGATTGAAAACATCTTTATCTCCACTGCTCTGCTGTGTTACTTTGTCATAGTGAAGGGTCTATATATGTATGAGTCTGTTTCAAGGTATGTTGTTTTATACTTTTAGTGCATTGGGTTATTTCCCAGATTTGGACAACCATGAATAAAGTTTCTGTGAACACTTTTATTGCAGTCTTTGTGGAGATTTGTTTTTTATTTTCCTTGGGTAAGTATCTTCCTTATTTTATAATTTATTCCTAGTATTTCATATATTTGACACTTATATGACACATATATATATGACACTTATATATAATATAAATAGTATATTTTTAGTAATAAGTTTTAATTATTTGGTATTATTATACAGATTTTTTTTAAAAATGTTCTTTTAAGCTAAAATTTACACTCATCAAAATTCACTACATTTAATGTACAATCTTACGATGTTGACAAATGCATGTGGCTCGTAACCACCAACAAAATCATATGAAACAATTCTTTATAGTAAAACCCTTCCTCCAACCCTTACCCTGGAAACCACTGATCTGTTTTCAGCCCCTCTAACTGTGCCACTTTCAGAGATAGTACTTGTGGAGTAGTGCCTAAGAAATCTTCACTTAACCCAAGGTCAAAAAAATTATCTCATATATTTTCTTTTAGACATTTGCCCTTTTAAGTTTTATTTTAAGTTCTATAGTTTGAGTTAATTTTTGTATGTGATGTGAGGTATGCATTAAGGTTTTTTTGATAATACTTTCAATTTCTTTACAAATGTGAAGTAAGCTAGGCACAGAAGGATGAGTATCATATGATCTCACTCATTTCTGGTAACTAGAGAAGCTGATCTCACAGAAGTACAGAGTCAATAGTGGTTAGAAGAAGCTGGGGGAGTGGAGGGGAGACTGTCGAATAAGGAATAGGGAGAGATAGATCAACAGTAGAAAATAATAGTTACATAGGAGGAATAAGGTCTGGTATTCTACTGTACAATAAGGTGACTACAGTTAACCATATTGTATCATATATTTCAAGATAACTAGAAGAGAGGATTTTGAATTCCTCTCACTACAAAGAAAATATAGATGTTTGAGGCAATTGATATGATAAATATCCTGATTTGATGATTACATAATATATACATGTATTGAATATGTGTGTGTCAATTACAAATAAAATAAAACTTTAAAAAATCTTATTATTTCTTTATTGAATAGCTTGGGCATCTATTGAAAATCAAGGAACCATTTATGTGAAAATATCTTTCTGTTCTATCTGATTCGAAGTACATTAATTTAATTGATCTTTTTAAAGAAATAGCTTTGGTTTCATTGATTTTCCTCTGTGGCTTTTCTGGTTTTCAGCTTTATAAATTTCTGTACTTATCTTTATTGTTCCCTTTTGGCTGTTTGAGATTAGCTTTCTATTTCTATTTCTGTTTTGTTTTGTTTTGTTTTTATTTCTTAAGGTGAAAGCATAATTGATTTGAAACCTCTCTTATTTTCTGCAAGCATTTAATGTTATGAGTGTTCTTCTAAGAGATGCTTTGGCTGCATCACACAAATTTTGATATATTATGGTTTTATTTTTCTTTAATTCAAAATATTTTCTAATTTCCCTTTTGTCTGCTTTTTTGACTCATGGATTATTTACCAGCATTGTACTATGCTCTGTGTAATAGGAACACAGTTATTTGATCTAGTGCAAAAAAAAAAAAAAAAGTGCCTGAACCACAGAGAACAGGACAGTAACTATTATTAATCTGCAGTATTAATCACAAAACCAACTAAAAGCCATTTGTGGTGAATCCCTTGAACCCTGGTACCATAGATTGGAAAGCTGCAAGAATTATGTAAGTATTAAATTTATAATGCCGAGTAAAAGTCCCTGCAAATTTTAAGTCCTTAAGTGTGTGGTTTTGTTTTTGTTTTTGTTTTTGTTTTGTTTTTTCTTGGCCATCCCTTCCTCACTACTTTAATTGACAATGCCAGCACCATGTATCACATGTTAATACAGGAAGAGAAGTTTCTAATATTTTATAAAAGTTAATATATTCTTAAATGGTTAGTAAAATATAAAATTATACACTGTATGGTAACTTTTTTGCACCATTTAAACCACAAAAACAAAATTTAAAGAAGAAAAAATACTAGCACTAGGTAAAAACATTATATATTTTTCCAAACAGTGATATAATAGTCATTTTTTTTCTTAAAAGACTAGGTTTCTTAGTGTCTTGGTATTTTACAAATCAGTAGGATATTGGAGAATTACAAAATAGAAGTGGGACTCACTTCTATCTTTTTTGCTTTTGCTTTCTTCATAATTAAATGGAAGTACTTTTGAACACATTTCATCACTCAGATTTGGTCAAGATCTTGACAAATTTGTTGGTTATTGGATATTTTTATATCTCTATGAAAATTCCTGAGCTTTTTGCAGGACATGGCTAAGTTAGTTGAAAACAACTTGATTCTCTCAGGTCTTGCTTTTAAGCACTAATTTTCTTTCCTAGTGAGACAAAATCCTTCTTTGCATTCTAACTTACAATCCTTGAAATATGAGGTTTTCTATCCTGGTTGGTGGGAACAGACACTTATCTCAATCATGCTTAAACATCAGCTACTGTTCTTTCAGGTGTTTCTTTTTCTGGAGATGGGTAATTTCTTCACAGGCATGCATGATTAATAATCAGCTGTGTACTGAAAGGGGACCTTCCGAGGATTTCTGGAGTTCTGGCTTTGCACATCTCCCTTCTCTCTCTGGTAGTATGCCCTGCAAATTCTAGGCATCTGGCCTTCCTCAAATTTCCAACTCTGTCTGCTCAACTCAGGGAGACCACTGCATCTGACTGAATTTTCTCTCCCTGCCCCAAACCCTAGTAACTTTCTCCAGCTGAGACAGTCTTAGCACTTACCTTATTTGTTTCTCTCAGGGACTGCTGTCTTTTTCTTTGTTGCCAGACTGTTTCTTAAGTGCTCATACCTCTCACTAGATTTTTATAAGAATCAAATCATAAAAATGATTTGTAAACCACAAAATTGTATGTAATCATTATATTGTTTTACTACTATATGATAATCAACTGAATCTTAGTAGCTGAGTGCTACAGAATATCTTACATTTTTCATATTAGCATTATAACATATCTAAAACTATAATTTAAAACAATGAAACGATGCCAAATGCATTATATGATATGAATATATGGGAATTCAAGTTGATCTTAATGGTAAGAAAAATTACTTTGTACTGTAAAGTCTGCTTTACCACAATCTGAAACTCAGAGGCTCAGTTTCTGTTGCGTGTTTTTGCCTCATGAGTACCCTAATTATTATCTTCTAGTTATCCTTTATGTATTCTTATTCACTGAAACATCTCTGTGATGATATCTTCCTACTGTTTGCTCCACTAGAAATTCACCCCGATTGTGGAGAGTGCAATGTCTCAATTTTTGCTTACTTGAAGAAAACGGTATTTTAAATTATGTAAATAATTTTTGGATGTCTTTCTTTTTATGTCACAGATATATGAAGTCTGGGGGTAAGACCTGCAGTAATTTCCCTTAAGGTAAGGACGTTTTCATCTTTTCTGTTTCCATTTGTTTAGAGCTAGCTATACAAAGCACAATAAAAGGGCCTCTTCTGAGAAAGTTGACCTATTCAGAATTCAAATTATGAGGAAACAATCCCACTATCACTGAGACGAGCTTTTCTAAGACAATTAGATATATCCCCTCTTCAAAAATTTCTTTGGCGTCACCTGAAATTATAAAATATTAAGATTCTGAATAAATGAAAGTTTGTTTTTTCTTCATCTGCACCATTTTCAGATACCTAATGTGTATATGCTAATTGATATGATTAGGCTTTGTGTCCCCACCTAAATCTCATGTTGAATTGTAATTCCCATAATCCCCACGTGTCAAGGGAGAGACCAGGTGGAGGTAATTGAATCATGGAGGCAGGTTCCCCATGTTGTTCTCCTGATAGTGAGTGAGTGTTCACGAGATCTGCTGGTTTTATAAGTGTTTAGTAGTTCCTCCTGCGTTCACTCTCATTCCTGCCGCCTTGTGAAGAAGGTACGTTGCTTCCCCTTTGCCTTCCGCCATGATTGTAAGTTTCCTGAGGCCTCCCTAGTCATGTTGAACTGTGAGTCAATTAAATCTCTTTCCTTTATAAATTACCCAGTCTGGGGCAGCAGTATGAAAATAAACTAATACACTAATGAAGAAAAATCAAAGATTAATTTTTATTGCAAAATACTGTAAATTTTATGTGCTTAATATTCAATATCTCATAAGGATAATTCTATCAAAGCCCATGCAGACAATAGGAAGACAAGCATGCAAAGTGACATTTCAATGGCCTTAATTTACCAGTTACTTAGTAAGTCAAGAATATGAGTAGGAAGTGGAGTTAATATAAGCTACCAGAAATCAAAATGTGGATAGATGGATTGAAAATGAGGCAGAAGACAGTCCCAGGCAAACATCTTTATTAGATTTTATGCCTGAAAATATACTCCTGTCATTCAGATTTGTTTATAAGGCCAATGGGAACAAATGATGGGACATGCTGACTACATGGAGCTGAAAGTTAATGCTGAGTGAGGATCAGTTTAGCACATCTAAATCATAGGGTGTGTGTCTATTTAAGGCCAGAACAAGTGGGTTATTCCATTCAGCTAAGCAACGAAGCCTGTTCACGGGTAGGAGGTGAGGCTTTGTTATTATTCTGACCAAGCGGACTGGATTTGGTAAATGATAGCAAACATTAAGTTTTTTTAGTATTTGTATAATGATAGATTATTTTTGTATTTATTTTTATTTATAGCAAATTAAATGTCAAGTCAACCAAGTAAAATGATTGATTCCTCTCTAGAACATAGAATAGACATTTTAAAGAGCTCTCAAAGCATTAAACTAAATGTCCAAGGGCTATAAAGGGAGACTCCATGGAAAACTGTATTCAAATTGGTGCAGATTGTTATATCAATGCAGAACATGTCCCATTATTAACCATACAGCTCAATACAGCAGGTACGGTACATCTGTGCAGTAACAGGTAAATTGAAAGAAAATAATAACTTACATTTTGGTACCTCTTTATTTAAATTGGAGAACCCTTTAATCTTTTTCGAATCTTCTTCATTTTTTTTTTTCTTAAGATAGATGGGTTAAAAATATGTGACTAGGAGATGAAAATTTCAATCTAAATTATAATTATTTCCTACATCTGTTCTGATACATTTAGAATGGTTTGTGCTTGTAAATTAGGTGTTAATGAAATAAAAATGTTGTAACCATGTGGAACATAAGAATTGCAATTGACTGAAGAAAATTCTGTAAATTCTCTAAGGAGACTCGACTGCAAAGAAAGCTCTTGTGTGCTACATACTATACACAAAATTATGTCTTTATACACTTAACTGTTAAATTTAAAGTAAAAACCTAAAAATTGCCAAAGGGAAGCATTACTAAGAACTGCCTTTTAAATACAAGCATTCTACTTTTATTACTTTGTCTTTACTTCATTTCTGAACCAGTTAGCTGCACGCTGTATAAAAGACATAATATTTTACAGCCTTCTAGACTGACTCTGTAGGGACACAGGTTGAGAAATGTGCCAAGTCATCTTTAGAAGGTGAGCTGGTAGCAGTGAGGGTCTGCCTTGGTTGCCTGTTCTTTTTAATGTCCTGGTCCCACTCTCTGGATTGTTGTCATGAGATAAATTCTACTTCTGCTGACTCGAGGATATTTGTTATATTTTTGTTAAACAAATGCCCAATTTAATACAATTTATATTTAAGTGATAGATATTTATATTAAAGGGATGAAATGAATAAACCTACAGTGATACCATTCTTAGAAAGCCTTCCAGCACAGTTTGGTATTAGTTTTATTAAGGTAAATTACTGGAAAGCAGAATTTTAAGAAATATGCAGTTATAATACTGTACAAATTGTATGTAAGTATTATAAAATTGTTTTCATATGTCCCTAAGAACTTAATTCCAATTTGCCTTTTGTTATGGGCAAAATACCTACTAGGTGTTTTGTAGAAATACGTTTAATACTCTGATATTTCTTGAAGGTTGCTAATTAATGAATAAATTTGAAAAACAAAGAATTTACACTTGATGAAATACATTATCAAATTCAGAGATAATTGGACTGATTATGACTATACTCAAATTCCAATATAACACACTAAGATTTATTTAGATGAAACCCCAATACAATTTTGAATTATCAGAAATTTGGAATAATGTTACTTGAACTTTACTCCGTGTTGTGAATGTGTATAGCTTTTCAAATAAAAATGTCCTATTTAAGTAGATTAAATGAAATTCATATATTTTAGGTGAGGTATCAGCTAAGAGAAACTTGTAACTAATTCTCATCATAATTGATGAATGTGTAAGCAGTTTTCTCCAGTGGAGGGAAACCTTCCAAGTACATTTCATTTTACTGTTTGACTTGTCATTGTTCTCTGTGTTCTTATTTATTTTCCTCAGTGCTTCATGTTATGCGTTTCTCTTTTTGAAGAAGACAAATGTATTAATATTGTCAAAAATAAGTCTTCAAATGACTCCTTATGTGATTCTTAAACATTTTTATGTATTAAATTTTTCATTATCTTTACTGCTATTGAAAATGGGGAAAAATAAGACATCTGAATATAATTATTGACTAATAGGTTGAAGATTGATTTGTAGACAAACTACATAAATAATAATAAAGGTAACACTTATGGCAATGTTTTGTTATTTGATTATTGTTGTTCTGAGACATAGAAATTCAATTTTGTGATTCCTTCCAAGCCCTTAAAGCTAAATGGTGGGATTTCAAATTATGTTAGCCAACCTTAAGGTATTTTCAAAAGTATTAATTTCCCAGGTTTGTATTTTTCTTTTCAGCTGTGCCAAAGACATACTTTTGCCAGTAAAATATATGTAAAAATTGATAGCCAGCATAAAGGATATTTAATTACAATATTGTTTCTTTAAAAAAATATTGCTAACAAAAATTTTGTATTGAAAAATATAGATAGGTGCACGTCCTTATTTTCTAGATACCTCTTGATCCTGCAAAACAATAAAAAATGCATTTATTAATTCATTTGAGAGTTCTAAATATGTAGCCTCATGTGCAAATTCCCTTTTACTCTAAGGATGAACATTATTTCTCCCTTTTCATGATTTTTTCCCACAATTTGAGCCTAAAATTGAGGAACTATAATTTAAAAAATTCATCACTCCTGAGAAACTCTCACTCTAAATCTTACAGATCTCATTTCTTTTGATTGCTTGATTTGTAATACATTCATTCCCAAATAATTTATTGTTGATATATTTTCCTAAATCAAAGCAATGAGAGAATAAAAGCTACAATTTTGAACCACTTATGTCAACTAATCCCCTTTGGCATTCCTTCTTGTCGACGTTAACTTGACATATGAATCAGGTTTTGTTAGTTACCACAACAGTTAAGAAGCATTGTCTTCTCTATATGTGTTTAATTTTACAGAGGATGAATAATGACTAATGGACATTAATCAAAATAGGTAAAAATTATGACTACTGAAGTAGAAATTACTAAATTCTCATAATTGATTTGTAATAGCTTTGGGATCTGAAAGGAAACAATCAAAACAATAACACAGAAGAACTGAAAGAAAAGGATTTATCTACACACATTTTTACCTTCCAATTTGAGATGACTACATTTCTTAAATAGCTCCAAAGAAATTGTATGTACGCTGGTAAGTTAGGGCAGTCTTATAAGAGGAATTTTCCTAAACATTTAATCTAACTTTCCCTTTTTTTTCCCCAACATACATTAAACATTTTTCTCTTGTTATCTCTTCCATATGGTTGAGAAATTGAGTCTTCCATATGGTGGAAAAACGTTTGTGTTCTTGGAGCTGACTTTCTGTTGTTCTTCTAACCCACTTAAATAAGTATTACAGCATTTCCCT